ACCAGCAAAGTGGGATGGGATGGGATGGGACGGCATGCGATGCGTGGATGGATGCCCGGGCAGAAGCCAAAGCCGATGGAATGGAAACGGCAACGGCAAGGACAACGGCAACGGGGGGGAGCAGCGTGTCGAAAGGGAGACGGGGGCATGATGGGAAAGATGGTGAGAAATGCGAAAGATGCGGAATGTAACATGGGAGAATTCAGATGGGACAGTTCTTTGCACGCTTGGGATACTTGGGAAGGTGATCAGCAGCTGCACATCGGCTTCAGCAAAGTCCCTGAAGCACACGACGGGACTTCGGAGGAGCCCCGACGACAGCCACCGGAGGCGCGAGTCCCTTCGCTCTTGGACTTGCCCCTCATCAGCATCTGTCTGTACCTTCCCCTCATCCGATACCTATTCTCTGCGCGCATTCCCACTAGCGTCTCCGGTACTCGAAACTTGGGAGATCGCGGCAAGGAACAGAGAATTGTGCGGTGTGCGTGTACTTGGTTGGACTCGATCTAAAATCCAGGTCAGGACAGGTCTCCTTGGGAGAGACACGGCAAGACATTCAAGACAAGACAACCAAGATCGCTCACCCACTTGCGCGCCTTGGAAGGAAAGCCAATGCAATTTCCCGGAACACCAGGCATAGCAGGAACTGGCTCCGACGCCCGACCCATTCAGGCCCATTCCACCACGCTTTAGCATTTCCCTATCCTGAACTGGAGCGCTCCTGGTCCTACGTTCGATAGTAATAGCGTGCTTCACTAAGGGATCCGTCTAGCTCGTTCATGTCGTTACCTGTCAACGCCTGCTTGCTAACGGCACTCCTCGAACTTCGCGACCGGTAGATGGATGGATGCATTGTTGTGGTCGGAGAGCACTAAAAGTGCGGAACCAAGACCCAGCGTGCCAACAAACCCCGTGATGAAGCTCCGAGGGGAACAAGAAGAAAAAAAACTTGGAAACTCGACGCCTCCAGCTTCCAGCTCCATCGGGCTCGGGGGCTCACCTGGGAAGGAAGAATGTTCACCGTCCAGCGGCGGCCGCAGCCGCGTCCCCCCAAGTTTCAAATGTGCCTGATTGTTGTCGTCCGGTCTTGATGGCAGCCGCGCTGTTTTGCGAAACAAGTTGTGGCAACCCTGGCTGGCGTGTATGCGTAAGTAGGTATGTGTGTATGCATGTTCCATTGCCCGCCGTTGTTCTCCAATTGCGCGTACTTTGCACCCCGGAAGACAAAACCAAAACCAAAAAAAAAGGTTGTCTTGGATGGGCGGCGGCGGCGGCGGTGACCCGGCATGAACCCTCGCAATACAACGTGGATGTGCTGCTCAAATGTCCCAAGTTGATGGTAACGGGCAGAAAAAAGCAGGTTGAAAGGCAGAATGTGTCAAGGTCAGTTGGTTTCCAGTGTGCGTTACCGCCTCACGGCCCAGGTACACGAGTCGAACAAAGTTGATGGAATAGTTCTAGGCCCTCGATGAACATGATGCCGCGAATCGCGTACCCCCGTCTCCCTCTCTCTCTCTCAGACGCTCTCCAGTGCACGCGGCACAGCGCAGCGCAGCGCAGCAAAAGAAGCAGAGAGTAGGAGACGCGCAAGTTGTGGCCCGTAAAGTAGAGTTTTGGCGGGTTTGCGCAGTGCGATTCGGCCGGGAGCCCCAGCCCAAGACGTCAGCTGAATTGATGACGGGTACTTGACCGTTCGTAATGCTCGACTACGTCATTCCCGAGAGTAAGCCCGGCAACAGGGGGCGACGAGTTTGGGGGCAGAAAAGGCAGAAGACGAAGCTCTGAGCTGCCTGTTAGTTGGTAGCTGTTGAGGGCTTGCTTCTCATTGCTGCCTGTCGTCGTCTTGTTCCAACGGCCGCCTCTTTTGAAACGATCACCATCCGCTGTGATGGAGAGGCGAGAGAGGCAAACGAAACTAACAGTGTGCGTGCCCCGAACCCCATATGTCTGGACTCGGTAAAGGAAGTGAATGGCTGGGCTGGTGGTCGCCTGTGTTGGGTATGTCGACAGAAGTGCTGCTGATCGCGCTCCCTAGGAGGTACTCCTGGGAAGGTACTCAGTATGGCGGGCGGCCAGTGCTCCCACACTGGAGGGATGGGAGGGCGCGATTGGCTGGGGGCTGGCGTCGAAAAGGGGTCCAGACTGGTCGACATTGAGATGATGATGCTAGATTTCTAATGGACATGGGCCGTATGACGTCGACTGTATGCGGACCCACCCGCCAGATAGAGTCCGGGCAGGTACAGCCAAAGTATCCATCTTTTACAGTGCTCTTTGCAACGACACTGGAGACGCCCGTTCACAGCGCTGTTCGTTCTGAATGCAAAACACGGTGCAACTAAATGTGAGGAGACCTACAAATTGGCAGATAAGTGTGGTAGTAAGCAAGCAAGTAACCAAGCAATATAGCACATGGCCAGGCAATTCTTGGTGCGTGTGGGCGGCGCGGTGTGGTGTGCTATGCCCTGGACCCTGCCTTGCCAGCTTACCGATCTCAGTCTCACGCGCGCCGCCTCCTCCAACAAATCCATCGTCTGCCTGTCCCTGCGCTGCCTTGCTTTTGGAGTGCTAGGTTCCTGCAAGTCCGTTTGGCAGCTGCCCGTCGTCGATTGGCGTCTGCACGAGTGGTCTGGCGGTTCATTGGGTCCCTTTCCTTGCTTTTGGCGCGAATCTCACGATCTCAACGGGCCACTCCGTCGCCAACACGCCGTCTTCGTTGCGACGCCTCTAATAAACTTTCAGCAGACAATCCATCTGTTCAAAATTGACCTACCTAGGTGTGTTCAGAAACAGTGGTAAAAATACAGAGAGAAGGAAAGGTACCATGGCGCGACTTGGTCGCGACAGTCGACGGGTCCAGATGCCCAGCTTTGCGCCATGCTTTACCTCCTGGGACGCACAACCGAAAGAGCAGCCACTCAGAGGGTGCGAAGCTGACCCGGTCAAAGGAGGCGCCCCCATTCTATGACGACGTGGACAGGACGACGCCCTGTGCAAATGTGGGAGCAGTCGGACAGTGTGGCGCCGGCTGATATAATCTGGCAGAGGAGTCGCAATCGGCAAAAGTGCACAGTCAGCACTTACTTCAGCACGGTATCCGCTGCTTGTTTTACACCGCCCAGCCTCAGGTATCCAACAGGTCTGAGGTCAGGGTCTCCACAAGCTAACCCCAAGGCGCCGATCATTCCCGTCCTGGACGACACACGACCTCATCGGACATGACACCCTCTTTTTTGCCCTTTCCTCTCTCCACCCGCGGTTTCTCTCTCGCTGTGATGAATGTGCCTTTCGTCTCTGTTCTGTGTTCTGTGTGGTCTTTCCGCCGCAGTTCAGTCGGTTTCTCAGGGCTCAGGGCATGGAACTCTGCGACTGGCATTGGATCAGAGCTACCACGGCAACAGGTGCCATGCCTCGTCTCACACCCTCTCATGTCTCTGGTTAGTATCGACCTTAGGTACCTGACTATGGGAGACCTTTGCCAGAGCTTGTTCCACCACCTGCGTTTCTCCCACCACACCCTCTCATACCTTAGCAACCCGGGAGGAACAGATCAGAACATCGTATTGTGTTGCCGTTGTTTTAACTGGCGAGAACAACCAAACCATTGACGGCCAGAACTGTCCACCATCCCATACATAGGTAGTAAACAGAGAAGAAAAAAACCACATCGATAAACGAGTCCAAAAACAGAACCACGCCAACCCATCGTGAGAAAGAGAGCCCCGGGCTGGCGACACCACCACACCTGCTCTTTTTTTTTTTTTCAATTTTTTTTTTTCCCTTCGTGCCTCCCCTCTCCCCTCTGTCTTTGCGCCCACACCCAAGGATCCTTCCCTCCCTGTCTGTCGCCAGGGCCCCCCTTCCCCTTCTTGTTCCTTCCCTAGCTCTAGTGTTTTTCCCAGCAGGAAGGACCCTTTTTTTTCTGCTCGACCTGTGCTGTCCGCCTTGCCTGCCACCACACCCCCCAGACACCCAGACAGCACTCAACCAGGTCCTCCTTTTCCCTCGTGTCTGTCTTGGTTGCTTGTTCTTCCATTTCCCCACTGCGCCTTCTGGCCTGGTTTGCCTTGGCCACTTGCCCACTATCAGGTTCCAAACCCAAGCAGCAGCCGTTGAATTGGCCTCTGCGCCGAACCAGATCCTGAAGCTGAACCTGACCTTCCATTGACATTGACTGCGCGCTCAATCTCTCAGAGAAGAGGAGCCTCTGTCTGTCTCTTGGTTTCCCATACAACTGGATCTCGGGACGCCGAACGCCACCACCCTGTCCCGGCCTGGTCCTGTCCCCGTCCGTCGCTGTCCTCGACACTCCTTGTCAGCTCAGCCCAGCCGCGGTCAAAAGTCACATTGATCCTGGGACCCCCATCCCGTGTCCCCAGCGAGCATCTCTTGCTCTCCCAGTCTCCGGTGGTGTCTGTCTGTCTGTCTGCTCCGTCTACCCTCTTGCTACTGCGGTGGGAGGAGTCAGTCACTCAGTCGGTCTCTGCTCTGTTCATCTGCTGCCCTCCTGCTGCTTATTATTATCATTATTATCTACCTACTACTTTCGCTACCCTACCATACCTTACCTCTTGCCCTCACTCGCTCACTCCTCCCTCTACCGTACCGGGTTCAGATCGCCACTTGTGCCGTCACGTCAGAACCTCCCCCCCGCAACCTTCTTTCCTCCCTAAAAGACCCCCCCACTGCCTTCCGTCCTTCCTTTTGTTGAAAGAGAAGAGCCTCCTCCGCACACCCTCCCTCCCTTTCCCTTCCCAATCCCTCCGATCTATCTGAACCCTATCCTTCCTCTACACTACCTACTTACCGTCCCGCCCAAACGCCATACCGCAATGGCGCTATAATTGATTCAAGGCCTGATCACTTGGCCGCCGTCGGAAGCATCTTCCTCTGCGCATCCGTGGCTCACATCAAAGCACCTTCCGTCCCCCCTCGACAATATACCTAACCTACCTGTTTTATCCTGATTCCAAACGTCACCTCCTCCAACCACACTAACCATGCTCGACAAGAGGAGCACTGACGGGACAACATCCGTCCACTACACCATGAAGACTCCCCATTCCGCGAGCAGGCCGTCGCCTGGCCTACGCCAGACACATAGCCACTCCCACTCACAATCAAAGCTCTCCGTCTCAGCAGCCGCCAAGAGCCCAAAGCCAACGACACCAGCTGCTTCTCCTAGAATGCCATACTCCGTTGGCCAGTCTCTCCCGCCTCAAAAGCTGTCGCCAGCACGACCTGCCGAGCCCAGAGCTGCGAGTCCCAACTACTTCGGCCTCGTCGTCGACCAATCTGCTGACCCCAGAGACTCCTCTGTGATGCCGCGAGACAACTGGAGCTCCCCGACGTCATCCGTCAAGTCTTTCGCCGCCGCCCTGCCCAAGCAGGTCCCTATCGATGCTAACCCCGACTATGAGGCCTTCAAGCGCCAGGCCGACTTGAACCGCGGCAAGGGCTTCAGTCTGTCCTCCTCTCACTTTCCGCAAGCACCGCCGAACCCCACGACCCTTCGCCCTCGCCCGCCAAGATGGAATACCCACGCCAGCGACACGGCTTCCGATTTTTCGATCCCGCGGGCGAGCAAGGAGAGGCCGACTGGGCGGATGGATGTCGAGCAGGAGAACGGCCCTGATTCGGCCTACGTCTCGGCGGACTCGAAGCGCAACTCTGAGGCGTCGATAAACCCGCCTCCCATGATGCTGAACCTGAACTTGCCGAGATTCGAGTCACCTAGGCCGACTGATTCGCCCTCGCCTTTTGAGCGTAGAACGACGCTGTCAAAAGTTGATGATCGCCACCCGCGAATGTCCATCTCCGAGAACAAGGTTGATCCGCCATCACCACGTAGTACAGCGGCGAAGCATCCAAGAGCCGAGACTCTACCGCCGACCATGGAGTCCGGCCCGTCACTGATCTCGCCTGCGCAACTGAAGGGCCTGATCGAGGCCGGCGGTTCCGATACGGAGCTCCTGCTTTTGGATCTTAGAGTCTCTCAGCAATACGCCAATGCGCGTATCGAGGGCGCTCTTAACCTCTGCATCCCGACGACGCTTTTGAAGCGAGCCACCTTCAACCTGACCAAGTTGCAACAGACGTTCCAGAACTCCACCAATGAAGAGCGGTTCTCAAAGTGGAAAGAAACTAAGAACCTGGTTGTGTATGATGCTCATTCGGCGGAAAAGCGTGATGCTGTGTCATGCATGAACATGATCAAGAAGTTCACCAACGAGGGGTACACGGGCGGCTCATTTATCCTGCGTGGTGGATTTAAAGCATTCGCAGATGAGTATCCCGATCTCGTGGATGAGGGGTTTGGACCCCAGGGCGACAGTACCTCCCCATCAACGGCCAATCAAGGGGGAAACCGGCCCGGCATTGCACCCGTCATTGGAGGCGTGATGCTACCCATGGCCAGCAACAACCCCAACCCTTTCTTCTCGAATATCCGCCAGAACATGGATCTCGCCGATGGTGTGGGCCAATTGGACATCGCTCGGCCCAGTGGCCTGGAGTCACCTACTCTGCCTCGATGGCTCCGAGATGCCTCAAAGCCCAACGACCATGGCAAGCAAGTTTCGAATAAGTTCTTGAACATCGAGAAAGAGGAGCAGTCTCGCATGAAGGCAGCCTATTCTATGTTTGGCGGGGACCAGAAAGACAAGAAAGTACCTCAGCTGTGCGGTATTGAGAAGGGCGGCAAGAACCGCTACAAGGACATTCTGCCATTCGAGCATGCGCGGGTGAAACTCCAGGGCCGCCCCGAAGGAGCGTGCGACTATGTCAACGCCAGCCACATCAAAGCGTCGAGGAGTAACAAGAGGTACATTGCGACCCAAGGCCCGCTGCCGGCAACATTTGATGTAAGCATTCAGTTCCTCTACAATTACCGAGTCGAAGCTAACTTTCACAGGACTTCTGGTCAGTCATCTGGGAGCAGGATGTGCGCGTTATTGTCATGTTGACCGCCGAATCGGAAGGCGGTCAACTCAAGTGCCATCCCTACTGGCAAGGCCGGGACTTCGGTCTGCTCAAGTTGAAGCTTCTTTCGGAAAAGAAGGTGTCCCTTGACATTGACAAGCACCGCAACGATCAAGGCTCGGCGGCGCCTTCAGCTGCGGCTGCCGCGGCGGCTGCGGAAGCTGGTCGTCGACGAGCTAACACCACGATGACCGGTCTTGCCGCTGCTGCATCACCCGCGCCGCCTCAAGGCGAGACTCCTCATGTCATTGTCCGCAAGTTTGTTCTGTCCCACGCAGCACACCCCTTCGCGCCGATGCGTGAGATCACCCACCTTCATTATCCATCCTGGCCCGATTTCGGCGCTCCGGCACAGCCCTCCCACCTCCTCGGTCTCGTCAGGCTGGCGAACTCCATGCAGAGCTCTGCCAAGCCTGTCGACACTATGGCTGCTGTCAGAGCTTCACCAGAGCCGGAGTCTGCGGACGAGCCAGAAATGAACTCGAGGTCGAGGCCAATGCTCGTTCATTGCTCCGCGGGCTGCGGACGAACAGGAACTTTCTGTACTGTGGACAGTGTTATCGACATGCTGAAGCGACAGCGACACGCCAAATCAAACTCGAGGCCGGTTAGGAAGAGAGACTCGGATGGTGACATCAAGATGAGCGGGCAGTCTGAGGAGGTGTCTCCGCGCGAAAAGACGTTCGACTTCAACCCCAGCAGTCGCCGATCCAGCGCTGAGGGGCGCCGTGGATCCCCTGACATCACCCCGTTGGACACCGCTTGGTTGAATGAGGATGGCGATACGATGGATCTGATCCAGAAGACCGTTGAGGATTTCCGACAACAGCGACTCAGCATGGTGCAAAGCTTGCGACAGTATGTTCTTTGCTACGAAACAATTGTTGAGTACGTGTGGAGACTGCACGAAGAGACGAAAGGGGGGCGGGCTCGAAGTGGAAGTTTACAACTGAGGAGCGACAATTAATGACGACCCGACTAGAGTAAATGGTCGGGAAACGATTGGACTCGTGCGGAATCGTAATGCGATACCCCTGGATGGCGGAAGGTGCCAGCATCAGCGAGTAATGGGAGCATCTTTTGCATTTTGAATTTCTTCACGGCAACAGGCAACACGGACATAATAGCTCGGGGATCGGGCTGAGGGCATGAGTAACGGCGTTGGGGCATTCGAACCGCATCCCGTATGATACATGGGTTTATCATGTGCCTACATACATTGGCACCGGCATGTTTGGATCAGGCTGCGGTCGGTCCTTGAACTTTGTATACTAGAGGCGTTGACCGAATATGAGCATAGAGTGGCCGGCGAACACAGCTGCCCTCTTGAAATGACGAACTTATGTTGCATCTCCATGAATTCGATTGCGTTCAGTGTGATGAGAGCTGTGCTAGCGACATGTTCGTGCAAGAACACTGGCCGCTTGACGTATCATGCGACAAATGAGCGCTTGGTGCCGTGGATGCTATTGGAGAGGCGGCATCATGACATAGTATTGAGAGGCGCAGACGTCTCGAAGATTTCAGGTCCTCGTATTCGGCGTGGCCGCCTTTCTTCGCCGACGTCCCCTACCTATCTCTCGATGATTTGGATTCTCCAGTCGAATGATCTCCAACGGAGGCTTGCCTGTGAGAGCACATTGAAATGGCCACCGATGTAAGGAAAGCTCGCGGCAATACACTCATGGGGGAAAGGATGGGAGTTAATGGATATTTGGAACATGAAAGTCCCTGACGAAGACATATAGCAGGTATCTCTATCTTCTAGGGTTGGGCTTGGAGGCTCAGAACGTTGGCGTGAATTATGTGCGATTAATAGCTGGCAGACAGCTTCATAAGCAGATATCGAACGTGTTTTGAAAATAAAAGGATAATCATTTTTTGTCCGTTCTCCATGGCATTGTTGGAATCGGGTTCATGGTGTATCTTTTGGGGTTTGGCGATGGTTTGCTTCCGGGAGACGCATGAAGTTGACGTTGGTCGTTCCCAAATTTCTACCTGAGTGAAACTGGCCTTGGGTATCCATCATCTCTGCTGGGTTATGGTAATGAATAAAGAAGGGATAGTGATTGCCTGAAGCTTGGCACTCGCTTTAGAGAATGAGTGTCAGGGGCTTAGGCAGCTAGATTGCCTTTCCTACCCGATGTATCGCTCAGAGATGGAACGGTGACATGCGCGAAGTTACTGGTGCGTTCAAAGATCTTGTATGCTGGATTGTTGCCTTTTAAACTAGTGCTTGCGAGCATTGTGTCCGCAGGATCGGTACGAGACGATCTCCGAACTGGGCCAGAGACTGCCGTCGGAAAGGTTGGATACGTCTATTGCCATAAATATATAAAGACTGGCTCGTCTGGTACTGACATGCGATCGGCAAATCCTATCTATCAAAGTCCGCCCCGGCAAGTCATTAGGCATTCAACACTTGAGGCAGAGACCGCATTATCCATCGCGAATGCATTCTGGGACTCGTCTCACCGAGTCCCTAAAGAACCTGCGCATCGCTGGCGCCTATCGTTTCTTCCTGTCGCCGTCTTATTCAGTTGCTATTGCTGCTGTTCACACATGTTGGCGTCAGAAACAGTATATAACGAAACATTTTGAACAAGAGGCTGGTGAAGGCTCCCTACATTATCACGGCTATCACAGTGTGGAAGATATCCATGCATGTTTGGTTCTGGTCCGCTTCGATTTGCGGTCTCTAGAGGATATCCAACCAAGCAGTGCGTTATATATAGGACCGACTCACTGGTTTCTGTTACAGACGCACCTAGTCTTCGAGCTTCTGTGTACTTGTTTCCGTGGGCGTCTCAATTTTATCGGGGTCAGTGGTATCATCAGGGCCGTACGTGGTAGAATTCATGACACGGGCTTCGCCGTATCCAAAGGTAATATATTAGTCGTGGAATTTACAACAAGGATATTATTGACATAATATGTCGGCATGTCAGACTAGTGATCGAATTTGAGAGATTCCCAGCTGATGGGAGTTCTGGTCTATGTCAAAGTTTTGAGTCGTTTTCTTTCATGAAGAAGCTGTGGGTTGTGATTTCCGGGGGTTTCGTTTGCAAAGTATTCCACCTTCGTAACTGCCAGAGAAAAAAGTGATGAGAGACACAGAGTGAAAGCATACAAAAGAAACTGATGGATCATTAGGCCTGGCTACCTTCCGATGGCTCCAACATCTCACCTCGAGACTATGCTGAAGTCTGCCCTGGTTGAAGCCGGAACTAGCAGTTCAGCATGTCATACACGGCTGCCCGTCTCATAGTTCATTCATTTCTTATCCAAGGAGTTGATGTTTGGGACTCAGAGTTACGAGCTGAACAAGACCGAGATTCGAAGTCATGTTACGGGCTTATCATACCTACATGATTTCTCTTCCTGTACTATCGGACGCGCGGATTCTCCCATGAATGAACTCTCGTCAGTGTAGGACGAGCCAGTCGTCGAGAAAGTTCTTGGGGTTATTTGAGTGTTCCAACATTGTTCTAACACAGGTCTCGTCCCAAGGTTCGGTTCTCAGCAGCGTTCCTCGATGTTTATGGTCGAACCTAAAACTAAACAAATGCCCTCAAAGACGTTCAAACCCTGTGTTTTAGCACTCCCTAATACGAGCTCTACTATTACCACAATTGGACAAGACGTCGACTTACTAAAGGACCCGACAGTTTGGGCTTTCTCATGCTTGAGCTATGCAAAGGTGAAGAGCCCGAATAACATGTCGCAAAAGTAGTAATTCTCGTAATCACTTTCACAGCAAAATTGACTGGGCAAAGATAAGCTGTAGGTACTGACGTTGACAAAGTTCACATCCTCATGGGGAAAATAGTCGCTGGGAGGACTTGGGAAACCGCGAGACGAGGAGCTGCGGGGCAATACTCGTGCCTGCGTCAGGCATTCGAGACCACGAAATAGCACCAGCATAGTGTCCGAAATAGCAGAGACCTTCAAAGTGACGGAAGTTTGGAACTTTGCAAATTGTGCCGTTCTGATAGCAGAAATGGAGGAGGTTGGTGTCTTACTCCCACCGATGGCTTCTCCGACGCTATCTTTTGTCTCTAAACGCCATCGTCGAGTCGTGTGAAACATTGATAAAGATGGCGAATCCTACGGCCATGCAAAGGATGATCGGCAAGCCGAGCTTCAATACCGTGCTAGATAAATTTTTTGCCAAGGATGCGATAGCTCACGAGGGGTTGTATTCCAAGCCACCCAGCCGAGGACCACATGGCATCGGTTTACCAGTCCTTGAATAGGACGGCCTCATGCAGGATGATCATGTCCTGTGAGTAGTGCCGAGTCTAGCGGCAAGGCTGGCTTCAGAGTGCGATGCGATACTGGTGCTATAAGTATGGGTGTCGCTAAGAGCGCCAAACCGTTGGGACTACGGCACACGAAGTGTTGGTGGTGGTGGTGGCCGTCGGACCGCGCCACAGCCGCTTGGGAGAGCCCGTGAGGTGGCGGCCGGTGGTCGTCGACCACGGGGCCGGGCCTTCCACGTGACTCAAGTCGTATTATCGGCATCCTATGACGCCAGCGCCTTCCCTAAAGCGGACTAGCTCACGATCTTGCACCCTAGAGTAAGTTAACCTGAGGTGAAGTAGAATTCAGAATCCTGCGATGCGACGAGACGCGACATTGCGTGCAATGCGACAGCACGGCTACTCAGCTCCTGAGAGTTTCCGGGGATGTGGAGAGAAGGCACGTCATTTGTGATCAGAAGGCTAAGGGGAGGAGTCCTGGATGATTCAAAGGCGAGTATCAGCCCCTTTACAATGTCAGATGGGAGACCAGGGATAAGCAGGCCCCCGGTTGTTCCGTCCACGCCTCGAATGGAACAAAATGCGCACTCACCTCAACACAAGACCGGAACGTCTCCTTCGCAGGGGACGGAGATGGTGGGACACGAGAGGCACTTGCATCGCCCAAGATGGAAGGGCCGCTAGAGCCATCTGGTGGATAGCGCAATGTTTGTCATACCTGCAGATCCTGTGCAATTCAAAGCCGCCATTCACAATCCAGTGGAGAGGCAAGGAAGGTGAGGTGTGCTCGGTCAGCATGCAGAGCAGCGGAATGGAGAGCATACAGTGGGCAAATGCGACTGGAAGCTTCCGTCATTCCAGCGCCGTGGGTTCGTCCCTTTTGGCTAGCAGCACCTCAGACTTTTCCCCATTGGCGCGATGTTTTGGATAGGTATCTATCGTAGTAGGTCATTCTGCCGCCCAACACCCCCCACTAAGGTACCTTACCTTACTGGGTAGGCACGCACTACCAGCCCGCCCTGCCGAGTGAGCCCGGCCCAGCACCCTCAAGCCAGCCAGCCCAGCCCAGTCCAAACGAAGCCCAGCCGCCCCGAAAAAAAGTTCGAAACTTGATTGACGGTGTTTGGTCGCCCTTGCTGAATGAAGGCTGATACTGGCCCTGCTGCACCTGCAACCCACACCCAACGCATCCGCCCGCACCAAGCACCCGCACTTGCACCTGCACCTGCACCAGCTCCAGCCATGATTTACCACCCTCCGACCTGAACCATCTCGATTTCCCATCCCACGGCCTGTCACCCAAGACACCACTTCTCCCAACCTTTTTTTGGTTTCGCTCGTATACCTCGCCTGTATTCTTCGAGTTCCGCCTGTAGAGCGTTCCTCTTATACAGCGCATTTCGCTGTTGTTATCGACTCTGGTCGCGCACTCGCTCCTCCCCTCAACCTAGGCTTCCTTCAATCAATCAATCACCATTTTCCCGTGTTGGCCGACGCCTTGCCTTCCACCGTGACCACCACCACCAACGACAGAAACACTGCTCGACAGATCCCCTCTGCCAGCAAGCCGATATCACTAGACTTGTCAAGTTCCAAGCGACTCCTTCTTGCTCTTCGACGACCTCGACGTTACATACCCCCTTAGACATTGTTTATCGTCTACCACCGCGACTGCGATACAACAACCGCTCGAACCCCATACCATCGAAGCCAGGCACGCCGTCAGCATGCGGCGCCCTTCGGCAGACCTCACCGACCCATCGTACAATCTGGAGGAATCAGTCGGCTCTCCCTCGTCAGATTTCGACGCCACAGATGTCGACCTCTCTATGCCACCAAACTCTGACGAGGAGGTAGAAGATGGCGATGGCCGCATATTCACCCCGCCTCCACACATCGCCGCCCGCTTCTACCGACCGTCGCAGACTCGTCGCAAGGACTCAGCTGCCTCCTCCCGCCGCAACTCCATCTCCTCTGCCCATTCCCGCTGCTCCTCCACCCAGACCTTCACCCGTCTTGGGGCTCCACAGAGCAAGCATGTCGCACAGCACCTCCGGCGCACGTCCTTCCTTGAAGACCGAAAAGCGCGCCTCGCCGACCGAGCTGCCCATGCGGAGAAGGTTCGTCTGAGAGCCGCCATGGCCAAGGCCACCCACCGCGATACCTCGGTGTCTGAGGAGCGCGCCATCGCTGCCCAGCAGGCGCGGGAGCGCAACCTGGCAGAGATCGTGGCCTCTTGCGCTGAAGAGGTCAAGAGGGCCAAGGCTGTCGCCGAAACTATGAAGGAGAAGAGGGAGCGCGAGCTGGTCAAGCTCCGCGTCCAGATGGAGGAGCGCTTGGCCGAAGCGGAGCGGAGGAGGGAGGAGCTCAAAAACAGAACCGCCGCGACCAAGAGAGTTCGCGGTCAGAGCTTGGTATCTCGAAAGCCGACCGAGACCCTCCCGCAAGTTGCCGAGAAGGAGACTCCGGTTTTGAGCGAGGCTGCTGCTGCTTCAAGGCTGCAGTGGTGGTATAGGAGTCACATCAGAAGGAAGGATGTGGCCGCTTTCTCCGAGTTGGGCCTCACCATCGACGGCGTGCGGGACACGTCCTTTGATCAGGTCCTCGAGCTGCTGGCCCAGGAGAAAGTTGTTGTTGGAACTGCCCGCATCCTTCGCATCTGTGGTTTGCAAGAGGGTGACCCGGGATCGGTCGACGAAATGGCAGCCGTGAGGACCTTCCTCAGCGCCTTTCTCATCCTGGGCCATCCCACTCAGGTCCTGAGCAACAAGGACGGCACGGGGGAACCGGAACAGGTTGGAATACTGCAGCCTCAACCGATACCCCGTGATGACCTGGCTAATCCCCAGTTGCAGGACCTCGTGACCAAAGCCCGAGACCTCCTCATTTCCTTCGAGAACATCCTGTCACGCTTGACAGCTGCCAACAACTACACGCCTCCACCTAGCCTGCGGAGTGCCCTGCCCGAGATCTACGCCACTTTTGCCAACGCGTTCCTATCCTGGAAGTCGCGCGACTCGGAGTCGCTTGTGCAAGTCATGCTGATGCAGTTCGTGGAGCTGGACCAGATTTTGCAGACAGTTCAGGAGAGCACGGATGTTGCGGCTGCTGATCAGTACCGGGAAAGCATCAAGAGCAACCAGATCCAGCTCATTGTCAGAATAAAGAAGCTGGCCGGTCAAGAGAAGGGCAAAAAGATGATTGCCGATGCAGTCCGCAAAGCACGAAAGGCGCGAGCAGCCAAGAAGCCTACTGGCGACATGAAGCCCCGCGTTGCCGAGAACGCGCCAGGAGAGGCATCTGCTACAGCCGAAAGCCTTGTGTCCCCAGTGTCGCAGACGTTGACGCCGCCGCCAACTCCTGCTAAGGGCCATGTCAAGCCACAGCCCATTGAGATGAAGCCTGGGCTGAGCGGCCTGCTTCCAGACAACCGAATCGTGGTTCATGAGCTTGCCATTAACCGTGAATATCGCATTCCTGCAACCGAGTTCCGGGAACACCGGACTTTACAGCAGATTCCTCTGTTTGCTGGCATGCGATACAACATGGAACAACACAATTTGGATGGCAGCTTCGAAATCTTCATCATCATGATGAGGTACTTCAAGGACAACCTGCAGAGGCTTGTGAAGCCCGGCGCCTACATGCATAATACGATAGGCGAGATACTCGATGTTGAGGTCGCAGAGCGCCAGTTCCAGATGGGCAGCTTTTCTTATGAGAAGTTCTTTGCCTCCATGGCATCTCTCCTGCCGAAGCTGTGTGCTCCTTTCCGCGACGAGGAGGCAAAGGATCTGGTCAATAACAAACTTCATCAAGGCACCTTGGTCGACCGCGTTGAAGCGTTGACGGAGTTTGTCGACTTGATGCTTTGCGACTATGTCAACTATATCTTCTCCACGGCAGCACCGCAACTCATCGAGTCTGCCCCAGAGTATGAGAAGAAGAGGTTCGGGTCTGCTTTAGAGAACGGCGAACACGGCTTGGAGGCAGCAGAGGCAGCGTGGCGTGCGGCTCGTTCAAAGGTATCGGCTGAGCTTCGCAAGCGTGACCCTGAGGGCATCAACCACCCGAAGTCTCGACCGACGGATGACAAGTTCTACGCCCAGATGCTCGTCGACGCATTCACTCAGCCAGCGCCAATTCCCAAGGACAAGGTCCCTGAGATGCTGCTTCTAGACTACAAGCGGATGACGCGGCTTTCGCTTGCCTCGCAGCGGATCGTTACCACCGGCGCAATCTTGCTGCAGTGCAAGAACCTTCTGAAGAGAGACGTGCGCGCGCCATGGAAGACGGAGGCAACGCGTATCATGACAGTCCTAGAGTCAGACCATGAAAAGATTGACTCAACTGTGCAGGGCGTGATGGCGGCTCTCGAGGGCGGCAGGTCCATGCCAGCAGCAACCAAGACGCACCTCAAAGCGCTGGTCACTAAGGTGGTCAACGCCAGCCAGGACTCCATTAGGAAGGGAATTGAGCCCACAGAGCCAGTGCTACGTCTCCTGCTGGCTCGCCTCCGTGGCCACCTTAACACGAGATTGGCAGCAGGGTCAGCCAAGGAGAAGGTGAATGCGGCTACGACGGCGCAGGAGAAACTGGCCGGGCTGGGGTTGGCCGAATTCGCAGTGCAAGTCCGAGAAATGCTCGACGAGATATCCAAGGTCGGGGCCGTGGACAAGGCGGCTCATGGATCCTGGTGGAACGAAGTAGCAGCCAAGATCGCCGCGGAAACTGAGACAGCCCTTGGATCTACTTCCTAAGATTGTAATGAGGGGATGGACATACGCATGGTACGATATACGGGTAGAGGAGGACGCATTCTTCAAGACTCTTCTTGATGACATGATGATGTACTTATTTTGGCTCGAGTGGGACCGGCGTTACAGGATGAGGATCGGTTGATTTCGACATTTTCCACAAGCATGGGACGAAGCATATGGGTTGAAGAGCGCAGTCATTGTCGGGAGGGAACTATTCTTACGGGAGGGTTTGCACGTCGGAAGACGATGTGCTTGGGAAGCGTTTACTAGAGCTTACCGGGTCAGCGTAGTCTTGCTACACAGAGATGACCACAATGGAGTATTTTCATGAACACACACACACACATATCGTTCTTTCGATTACTCCAACGTTTGACTAATTTTGTGACGAATGACATTAACACATGAGCGAAACTTGTTTGAATGGCATGGCACTTTTGGATACGACCCCGGTATCCATCTCGCTTGCCATCGGCGTAGAAAGCACTAGCCACCACAGCCTCGCCTCGTACCCAGAAAGTCCCCGGTTTCTTCCCAAAGGGGCTTCGTCCGCGGCGACCCGGCCGAGTGGACTGTGTGTCTCCTGGGAAGGTCTCATCAGAGATTTTCACGACCAACAGGCCAGACAGACGATGGTTGGAGAGACCGGCCACGACCTGCCTCTTATTGATCAGCTCTAGAGTCGTCCGTCTACCCTGTCGACCGGCACAGGATGAACCCGATCGGGCAGCTGGTCGGGCGAAGCTGGGCACGCGGGTTGGAGCTGAAGGCGAGCGCCGTCTCGGCGTCTCTCACCAGCCCTTCTGCTACCCCAGGTTTCGCCCGCAACTCAGTGTTGTTCTCTTCATTTGCTTCACCCGTCCAATCTCTCACTTCATCTTTGTATAACATAGGCCTCAGACGCCACTTTTCCAGCACTCCCTCGGTCTTCAAGAAGACTGCTGCCACTACTACGGATCATTCTCTCTGGTCATCCCCGAATGTGTGTAACGCTGCCCGCAATGGCCTCGTCTATTCTCGGTATGTTATCCCACCGTTTCTTTTGGTGTTCCGAGGCTCTTGATCCCGCGTCTCCGTCTTTCTTGGGTCCCAATTCCGGGTACCTTAGATTGTCGCATTCTTCTGGTCGCGTTAGGTAACCGAGAGCTCCCCCCATGAGCCCACCAGTGGCGCTAGAGCAGCTGTGTGGCTCGCCGTAGGTGGTCTTAGGTTACCTACGGTAAGGTGCTGAGCAGTGGGTGAGGTCGGCCAAGGGAAGGGAACCTTACCCATGCAGGGACCTTTTGTTGCCCCTCGTTGTGCCCCTCACCTCGGAGCATCAGGCAGGTCCACTCTGGAACTCTGTTACCAGTTGCATCGCCAACCACTGCAGCAACATCGAACCCACATCATCACCGTTCCAGAAGTTCCATTGCCGCTTGCCGCTCGCCAGCTCCCAAGTAGGAAGGACGCTTAGTGGAGCTACAGCTTCTGCTCGATCTATTGCCCTTGTTTCGTTTCCTTTGCTTCCATCCATCTAATCACCCAGACGCCCTTTAAAGTCGACTGACTTTCCTCGCCCCAAACAGCAACAGCTCTCGACCTCTCTTCCCCGCATCCTCTGCTCGCTCCTACTGCTCGACCATCACCACCTCAGACAAGGCCCTCTACGCCAGCAGAGTCGGCAACATGGCGGACCGCGAAGTGCTCCCCGACTCCATCAAGCCCTCCCACTACGTTCTGTCGCTCCGCGACTTGAACTTCAAGGACTGGACTTACAAGGGAACCGTGACGTAAGTAACTGTTCCCTGCCCCTCACCCCGCTCCAGCTCGAGCTTCCATCCCCAAGCACGTGCTAATGAATGCTCTGCCCCCGAATAGCATCGACGCCGAAGTTGTCAAGCCCACCAAGGAAATCGTCCTCAACGCCCTCGAGATCAAGCTCCTCGACGCAAAGATCGCCGTCGGCCACACCAAGTCTACGCAGTCATGGGAATCCAAGAACTTCAGCTATGGCGAGAAGCAGCAGCGCGCCACCATCACCTTCGACGAGGAGATCCCCCAGGCCCAGAAGGCTGTCCTGACCATCGAGTTCGAGGGTATCATCAACAATGACATGGCCGGCTTCTACCGCAGCAAGTACAAGCCCACCGTCGAGCCCGCCAAGTCCGTCCCCCGCGACGACGAGTGGCACTACATGTTCAGCACCCAGTTCGAGTCCTGCGATGCCCGCCGTGCGTTCCCCTGCTTCGACGAGCCCAACCTGAAGGCCACCTTCGACTTTGAGATTGAGGTTCCCGAGGACCAGGTCGCTCTTAGCAACATGCCCGTCAAGGAGACCAAGAAGACCCGCGACGGCTGGCAGATGATCTCCTTCGAGACCAGCCCAAAGATGAGCACCTACCTGCTCGCCTGGGCTGTCGGTGACTTTGAGTACGTTGAGGACTTCACCGAGCGCCGCTACAACGGCAAGCAGCTCCCCGTCCGCGTCTACACCACCCGTGGTCTCAAGGAGCAGGGTCGCTGGGCCCTGTGGCACGCCCCCCGCATCATCGACTTCTTCTCCGACATCTTCGGCATCGAGTACCCCCTGCCCAAGGCCGATCTCCTCGCCGTCCACGAGTTCACCCACGGAGCCATGGAGAACTGGGGTCTCGTCACCTACCGCACGACAGCCGTCCTCTTCGACGAGAAGACCTCCGAGGCCCGCTACCGCAACCGCGTCGCCTATGTTGTCGCCCACGAGCTGGCTCACCAATGGTTCGGCAACCTGGTCACCATGGACTGGTGGGATGAGCTCTGGCTCAACGAGGGTTTCGCCACCTGGGTTGGCTGGCACGCCACCGACTACCTGCACCCCGAGTGGCAGGTGTGGTCCCAGTTCGTCAACGAGGGCATGGAGATGGCTTTCAAGCTCGACGGTATCCGCGCTTCTCACGCCATCCACGTCCCTGTCAAGGACGCCCTGGACGTCAACCAGATTTTCGACCACATCAGCTACCTCAAGGGCTGCTCTGCCATCCGCATGCTTGCCAACCACTTGGGCGTCGACACCTTCCTGAAGGGTGTCTCTAACTACCTGATCGCGAACCAGTACGGCAATGCCAAGACCAAGGCTCTGTGGGATGCCCTCAGCGAGGCTTCCGGCAAGGACGTCAACAAGCTCATGGGTCCCTGGATCTCCAAGATCGGCCACCCCGTCTTGACCGTTGCTGAGGAGCCCGGTCAGATCTCCGTCAAGCAGTCTCGTTTCCTGTCCACCGGTGACGTCAAGCCCGAGGACGACGAGACCACCTGGTGGATTCCCCTTGAGCTCGAGGGCAAGGTTGGCGCCAAGGGCGTCACCTCCCTCTCCCTGGAGACCAAGGAGGACACCATTCGTGACGTCGACACCGATTTCTACAAGCTCAACTCTGGCGCCTCCGGCTTCTACCGTGTCAACTACCCCCCTGAGCGTCTCCTGAAGCTCGGCCAGCAGCTCGACCGCCTCAGCACCGAGGACAAGATCTCCATCATCGGCTCCGCCGCCGACCTTGCCTTCTCCGGCTACGGCACCACCGCCGCCCTCTTGTCCTTCGTCCAGGGCTTCGCCAAGGAGGACAACTACCTCGTCTGGAGCCAGATCCTCGACTCCATCGCTCTCGTCAAGTCCATCTTCGCCGACGACGAGACCATCAAGAAGGGCCTCGAGACCTTTACCCTGAAGCTCATCAACGACGCTGTCGCCAAGTACGGCTGGGAGTTCCCCGAGAGCGAGAGCTACCTCGACGGCCTCCTCCGCAAGAGGCTCCTCCTCACCGCCGGTGTCAACGGCCACGCCGCCGTCACCGAGGAGGCTACCAAGCGCTTCAACGCCTGGGTTGAGGACCCCAAGGCCAACCCCCTGCACCCCGCTCTCCGTACCCCCGTCTTCCGCGTTGCCGTCAAGAACGACACCGCTCGCGCCGTCGAGGTCCTGAAGAAAGAATGGTTCACCACCCCCGCCATCGACGGCAAGGAGGTCTGCCTCTCCAACCTCGGCTTCGTCCGTGACACCGAAATCATCAAGAAGACTCTCCTCCCCTTCCTCTGGAACAAGTCTCCCCCGGCCCCCGCCTCCGACTCCATCCCTTCGGCCGATATGCACATGCTCGGCTCCGCCTTTGCCGGCAACTCCGTCGCCCGCCAGCTGCAGTGGGACTACCTCAAGAACAACTGGGAGGCCTGCGTCGAGAAGCTCAGCAACCCCATCGTCGTTGACCGCTTCATCCAGGTCTCGCTCGGCAAGTTCACCGACTTCGACTCCGTCAAGGACATCGAGTCCTTCTTTGCCGACAAGGACACCAGCGCCTTCAGCCGTACCCTCGAGACTGTCAAGGACAAGGTGCGCGGTCGCGCCGCTTACCGCGAGCGTGATGCCGCTTCTCTGAAGGAGTGGCTCGTCGCCAACAAGTACGCATGAATCCAAGGAAGTGAGAAGTCAGTTGGCGGGATAGCAATGTCTAATGTCCCGGCCAAGTTGTAGCTAGTGATGATGATGCTAGCTTGTAGAAAAGCCATACCAATATTGTTTTTGTCGTCACTCCTGCTTCTTGGACGTAGCGTGATGTAAGTGCTACTACTGCCAGGTGCCTCAGTCCAAGTACAAATTCCCAATATGTGACTGTTGGGCTTCGAAACCCCCAAATCAGACGTTCGTGCCATGATTATGGCTCGTCTGGCGCCGCCGTGTCTTTTCACACGATAAGCGTCATCTCTAACAACGTATAATGAGCTGCATCAGCTCACCACAGACAACCTCTATCTCACGTATTCTTCTTGAAGATGTAGAATACGAAAGAAGAGGTGATGACCGGCAAAGGTGGGACGGAAGTCACTGGGATGCAAGAAACCCCTTTTTCAACTGCTCTGGCCGAGCAACTGGTTTGCGACGCTGCTTCTCATTTGCTGCTTCATATTGTAAGGGAGGCAAAGATTGTTTGCCGAGACTGGAACAAGCAGAAGAGCTGTCGTAGATATACTCATTCGAGCAGTGTTTACGGTGACGGCGTCAAGTATGGTTTTGCGGTTGTATGATGTCTCAATGGATGAGCAGCATCTCATAGGACTGCCGAGCCAATAATACTCATCAGACCTTGTTTACGCGAGCACTGAGAAAGCATCCAAAAGCGAATATGTATATAAGGCCGTGTTAATTTGTCTGCTTGATGGTTCTTTGTCGCAATCAGCCCATTATAGGACAATGTGAAGAGAAATCAACCTTGTGCCAGTCGATGCGTTGGAGAGCAGCGATATTTAGATTCCAGCCAACGAATCGTGTAAGATAGGGATTCTGAAGTAACTTTCATGATTATACGCACTCAATACAGCAGCACAGATGACGAGGGACAGAACGAAGGTGTTGGTCTGAGTTTGCCATCACCAGATATTACATCCGTCAGCGGTGATCCCCTAATATGCTGATAGGGGTCTTGGTCAATTTCCTAACCACGGAACATATTCTTGGGATTTATTGTTGTCTTTCTTGCTAGCCTAGAAATCGGCGCGTCTCGGTTAACATTTATAAACACCAAAGAGCCGTCTGAGCCAGTGAGTCCGAGCGTTTGGCCAGTTCATCGAAGGCGAATATAAGGTGACAGTAGCCTGGTTCCAAAAAGCTCTTTCCAACGGCCAATTCACTCCTCACGAGCCACTTCCTGGGTTTACTTGTAGGGCTCGATGCTCTCCATCTATGCCTCGTATGAACCTCACGCGGGGAACTTGGTTCAACTTAAAGATCCAAAACTACCAAATCTCCTCGTATGTATTCCCATGAATAAGTCATATATGACGGAATCGATGAGCAGCTGAGTTTAAATTGATGCCCTTCGTCGTCAACAACTAAGGAGGAGCGTTGGATCAGGCTCTTCCAGAAACCGGGTATATATCGACTCTCTGCCATCATGAGATATGTCATGGCCTCCGCATTGGTTTTTCAAAAGTTAAGAAACATGAGCGCAAGGTTTTATACTACATGCGATGCACCAGTCGTAATGGTAATTGACCGTCAATGAGCCGATAACCCGGTCGCAAAATGTCCAGCACCCCCGGCCTAGACGTTGAAGATGTAATGGTAATATTAATCGTAGCGTCTTTCACATCTCTTATTCTCGACAGCAGTTGTTGGGTGCTTTCCAATCGTTGCCGCTGGAGAGAGGATCCACCTATCTCGTGGGGACTAATCAAGCCGGTGGACAGAGGCCAAAGGACGTGAACTTACAACCCAGGCATGTGTCATGCCGTACCTTATGGCTACTGTTGCTATCTGCTTATTCTCAGGCATAATATCCGCGGATGTCGCCATGAAAAAGCCGCCGCAGGAAAGTGAACCTTTAAACGCATAGGCATGTGCCAGGACTTGTCTCACCGGAACTACTGAAAGATAAATCTATGAATACACAGCATTGGATAGCGACGATGAGAACTGCATGAGAAATCTTTGAGCAGAGAGCCTGAAGAGTGTGGCCCAAAGTAGCGAAGCTGGAATTTATGATGAACCAAGCGCGCTCAAACTTGCGCATTGTTAGCAACAACATGAGAGGAAGAGAAGAATTTCTGGGCCAGCCTTACTTAGATCATGTAGACAATTCATATACCTTGCAGATGTGCTCATTCCTGAAAGGATTTCGACCAGACGCGTACGAGGATGCTCTTTCAACTTCAGGAACGGTTTACTACAGCTCTACCACTCCCCACTGTCACGTAGGATAGCTCTTCAATGTGTATTTAAATGCAATACCTCTGCGCAGTCTTCTTCTAATAAGACAGGCAATGTTATATTTGCCATGTTTCGTTCAATGGCATGCAATTGCTTTACTGCAGACCCGGAGCATGTACACACCCAGCAGGTACAATTCCTCGACACACTGGAAAATGCGGCGTTGACACAGCTTCTTCTAAAACACCGCTCGTCACCCCTGGTCGTTTTTTTCAGTTTATATGGATAACTTAGATGTATATATGGGAGATTTGTGACGGGACTCGGGTTTCTGGTTTTACCGTAATGCTGATCTAAAGTCATCTTGGTGAAAGCGACCTGGAACACTGAGAGATGGCTCCGACCGAAGGGTGACCTTCATAGAGTTGGTCTTGGAGAGTTCATTCTGCTCATGCCACACTTCATCCGCTTGCATGAGAGCTTTATATTGGAAGAGCTTTATATTGGAAGAGCTTTATATTGGAAGACGGAAATACAGCTCGTACCTCACAGTCATCAACCTTCGATCCATCATCAGCGCAAGAACGTCGACTTCAACTTCGTTCAGGACCATTTCCATCTATATGCTGTTGATCGCGTGAGATAGCGCTGAGAAAGTTGCCACGAATTAATAGACGACCTACAGCTGGTTGGCTCATAAGATACAGTGGAGAGGGCCGAGATTTCACACGGCGACCTTAGCCGGTATGACCGCCGACGATTAGGCCGAATCTTTTTGGGATGCGCAAACGTCCGTAAAACCATATGAAAAGCCCTATGTGCGGGCGTATTCGGGGTGACACAATTGACATGTTTGTCGTCCTTCTAGCCGCATCTCCGGTGAGCTTGGAATAGGTTGAAAGTTGGAAAGCAGCTGCCAGAAGTGGTGTTTGTTCAATAAGAGACATAGCGATTCATAGAAATGGTGCATTCTTCTCAATGGATGCGAATATACTGACGTCAGTAGAGCCGGGCAGGAACGCATAGAGGTGGTTAGAAATCATTGAACTAGTTCTCTGATCTTGGCTTTCTCTTCCTCTGGGCAGCCCTTCCCGGTGCTGGCGCTGTTCAAATGATGAATGACAGCATGGGGTCAGAATTGCTGAACAGGTCATATAAAGTCATGCTCGGTTCAAACAGCATTTATACTAGGGCTTTGGCAGAGATGTGCTCATGCCGAGATCATCTTCACACTGCGGACTACACACGGTCTGTGTATATTTATTTATCTGATTCACGGAGTAATGCTAGTGTTTTTCTCTCTAGAAACAGTTAATGCGTTCTGCGTTAAGGCACCTCACTACCGCGTCTGTCAACGAAGGCGGCCCGAGGGTGGTAGTGGTGAAGGGGTCAGAGTGCCTACATAGCCACTACAGCCTCGTTGTTACTCCTGCTAATCATCGCTCCTCACTTATTCGAATTCAACTGAATATAGCCCCAGCGGAGGATGTTATATTGTAACTTCTGTTCTGACGCTTCTCTACGGCTACGTGAAGAGTTGATTTGTTGTCTGTTCATCAGAGTGCTTGGAAGGGACGAGGGGATTAAGCCATGTCGGATGCTGGATGCCCCGACAAGCATTCCATGGTCTGTTGTCGCAGCATGAGGTTACCCGCAAGCAATAACGCGCATTTATAAATCAGTTTAAGGCCACCTGGTGCTAATTTCTAATTCACAATGTAAGGCGGCCCTCTCTATGATTCTTCAGTTCTCAGAGCACACGCGCTCAGCCCCACTGAATGATGGTAAGACCTAGACCAAACTTGTTAAATACACAGCTTCAATTTCCAGAACCAGGTCCACCACCTTCGTCTTCAGCGGTTTATGTGGTGCCGTATTTGGAAGAGATGTGACGATGAAAAGATGCGTTAACCAAGCCCGAGCAGTAACAACGGTGCCAACTACGCTGTTGCTTTTTGTAGTGTTTTACGATATATACAACTCCAAGACGACTTGAAAGGGTGGGAATGCGTGCTATTCATTGACTACTCCGTATGTATCCGCAAGTCGATGTTTACTAATTGAAGTCATGCCAACTTTCACGATCAATCCCACCCTACCACCTTAGGCGCATTCTCCAGCTTGCATCCCAAGATGCCTCTGCAGATGTTGATTGCAGCCCTCTTCGCCTCGCTTTCACCCATCTTTAATCCGCCATAGGCATTATAATCTCCTCGGCTCTCCAAAATAACTTCCGTGACATGCGCCTGACGCACATCCCCGTCCTCCCCTGCCTCGGCGGCTCGGGCCGTGCTGCTGCTATCACCGCTACTTCCAAACCTAGGAGCGGTAATCTTGAGCCGATACATCTCATAGCCAGTCCAGCTCCGATACAAGTGGGACACGATGTTCCCCATCTCGTCTGGCCCTTCCGAGCAGATGAGCCAACGCTCTTCCATATCCCTGGGGTGGAAGCCGTTCAGAATTTTAGTGACGTCCGCGTTTAAGGGGTTGAAGCGCAACTCAGCGGCCTTGGGATGGTTTATTGAATGGACGGATCTTGCCCTGTGTTTATTATCAACGCGCTGCGGTGAATCGTGTACTTCACGGCGGGGAACGCTGGCCGCGATAGAAGGACGTCGTGTTGCCGAGAGACGGGCGTTGAGGATACGTCTGAACATTTTGGTTGTGAGACGAAGTTGGTGGAGGGCCGACGTGGCCAGTGTGTGAAAGGTGAGTTGCCATCTACCTAGAAGATGGCTGTTTCTGCCATATATATACCTGTG